GGGGTTCTTAGTCATTCCCTGGACCCAGGGCAGCCCCCACTGTAAGATCTAATGGGTGGGAAGAAGGCGTTCTCCACACCAGAACTCTAACATGCTTCGAAAAGGGATACAGTAGAGGAGGGACCCTCCTCTGCTTGTGCTGAGTCCACGGACTCTCTGCCAAACACCTCCCACCTTTAGCAGCACAAACCTGAAGTTCCAGCAGGTGGAGATGTTACTACGTGAAAGGGATAGAGGAGACAAATAAGATAGCTACCCCTCGGGTTAGAATGGGAATTTGGGGGTTTCCTTCACAGTAGCCCATGTTTTAGGTCAATATTACAGTATTTTTTATAAGATCATGCAATTGTCTACCCATGTGTGGGTCTAGATTTTAGACCCTAGGGTGTAGGATTTTAAAGTTGGGCGGAGTTTCAGATCAACCCCTCTCCCATTCCTAAGCCCACCCCACCAGTTCACTGAACAGGGCCAAGAACAGAGAGCTGGGGAGACTTCCCACAGTCTCAGGGCTAGGTCATGGCCAAATTGAGTCTAGAATCCAGATCTGCTGATTTCTGCTTGATAAGTTGATGAGAGGTAAAGTTTTTTGGGGGGTTTTCTTGTTTTTGTTTTTGCTTTTGTTTTCAGGCAAGGGTGATATCAGTCATTCTGTTACATGTTTGGCTTTGGGGAGTTTGGCCTGGGGGGCGGGGAAGTTCCATGTACACATCTTAAGACAGAAAGACATTTGTTTTACCCTCTTCTATGGTCCATTTGCAAAAAAATAAATAAATAGTATTTTTGCAGCTAGGGGGTGGGTAAAGGATCCAGTTTTGTTTAAGCCCCACAGCATGAATTTAAAGCAGGATATAAATTTTAGATTGTTTAAAAAGTTTTCCTCAATTGGGTGTCCCATGGAGAAAAATATGCAGAATACCCAAGGGTCAATTCTAAGCCAGTGTGTATTGATAGTTATCAGTGGCATCTTAGAATACTTGAAAAATGTTTAACATCTTATGCATGTTTTTAATATTTAGGGAAGTAAGTTGGGGAGGGGGCAGTGGACACCCCAGTGTGCAGAATAAGCTCAAAATAAATTATCAGGATGGTGACTTCTAGACAATTTTTTTCCCCCTAGCTGCTGAGATGTTTCTATTCTGTTTCAATATAGGACACAAAGAGAGTCCTTTGGAGGCCATGAATTCCCTTCGTCCCCTCCTTGCACCTACAGTTGGCTGCAAGCAGTGGCCCCAGGAATCTCTTCAGGATGATGTAGAAGTTAACATTCTTTCAGGCAAGGAGAGAGACAGCTACTGGACCTTTTATATCCAATTATATTTCTTTACTCACTTAACCACACATACATCCTTAATTCCTCATAACTTTAATACCCCAGCAACAGCATGATTTAAAAGTAAACCACACTTCTAAGAAAAATTAACCACTCACATAATATTGCCAATGAACTTGTACATGGCACTCTGGGGAGTCAAGTTTCTGTGTACATTATTTGACTTAATTTTCACAGTAATATTCAGGAGGCATGCTTATGTGCATGGGAGAGAGATGAGGGGACTGAGGGAAGAGGCTAAGGGCCGGAAGCCACCAGAGTTCCTAAGGGACAGAACCAGGACACAGATCAAGTCCATCTGGCCTGGATTCTTTTTGCAGTATACTATATCGGATTATCTTTTCTTCATCTGGCCTTTGACAGTGTGGGGCCCTCTGTCTGTTCTTAGTGATTTAGTGTGAAGCTGCTAATTCCCTCCTCAGCAATTCTCAGTTACTTTTAAGGTACTCTTCCCTGTCTTAGAGTTTGCTCCTCATTTCACCAAGCCTTGGCTGCCTTACCTGCTTCTGTGACTCTGAGGTAGGCCAGAGCAAAACGTGGCAGCAAAGCCCTTCCCACCTGGCTGGTTTTCCCATTCTTTGTGATTGTTTGAACTGAGCACAGCAGCCTTACTGAGATAACCTGTGCAGAAGTCCCCCGGCACCTATCCGGCAGTGTTGATTCACTCACACATTTGTTGAGTATGTGCATCCATTCATTCCTCTCTCTAGCCTTATAGAGTGAGTGCTCAGCATATGGAAACGCCAAAGGATGTGTGGAG